ATATATATATATATATACATATATATATATATAGTAACACGGCAGCAGTGACAGAAATTAATTTTTAATTAAGGTGCAATATTTGCATCTTTATTTGCACCTACATTTAGGAAAAAAAGGGTCACTGAATCAGGCAACTGATTTATTTAGTAATGAAACAAAAGTGTAAATAATGCAAAAACAGTATTGCATATAAAACTTTTAATTAATATTTATTTAATATTAACTTCTTGTTTACTGAAATGTTATAAATCTGTGTGAAATCTATATCACATTTGCAATTGTGCTGATATTCAGGAAAAACATTCATTAGGTCTTGCTCATGATGATATTGCAAGAAATCATGCAGCACATTTCTCTATTTGGTTTGTGTTGTGAGTATTTGCAGCTCGTTTCTGTATTTGTCTGTGTTGTGAGCATTTGCAGAGCATTTCTGTATTTGCTGTATTTTCCTGTATTTTGTTGCATTGTAAGTATTTGCAGCGAGTTTCTGTTAGGGATGGGCGCATCGATCCTGAAGTATCAACATATTGATACTGATGCGAGTATCGAAAGTATCGATACTCAAATAAAAATGTCGATACTAAGGTGTGTTTTTTTTAAACCAGTGAATTTGTTTATTTGACAAAAAAAAGAATGCGTACATTATGCATTTGAATCGGACGAATAACCTATGTTAGCGAATAATTGTGTAGGATAGAACTATTTTCCTGCTCATCTGAATACACGCAAATGTTGCAAGACAGAACCAATCAATCACAGAGAGCGGTCACTCACTTCTGAGTGCATTCAAACAGGGCTGCGTTTCCCAAAAGTATCATAAGAAACCATTGATGCTTTTGGGAACGGATGCCCAGAACAATGCTTATCAGAGGACAGAAAAAAAACATAAATGTTTGAGTTATTTCACAATAAACAAATTGAAATTGTAGCCTACATAGTTTGTGCAATTACATTATAAATCATACACTGCCAGAATAAAAAGGTTGCATTTTATTCATGCAACAGCCTTTCACTGGCAGTCCCTAATGAAAATGAACCATGGTTTTACTAAAGTGACCGTAGTTCAACT